GATATATATATATATATGCCGCTTACTCAGATCAAATGTTGGGCGTTTGCTTGTCAGTTGTAAGTCCCTTCTGGTCTGGGGTTCGATTTGGTCTGGGGTTCGATTTCCCCTGAGTGTAGGGTGTGGTACTTGAATTCTTAAGCGCATGAGGGATTGTCGGAGCTCGTATAATAGCCTCCGACCAGTTTTTTTAAAATTAGGTTTTATAATTGATTTTATTTTAAGTTGATTAGTAATAAATGTGTACTGATGCAATAAATATTAGGTGAGAGATACATATAAATTTTATTAGGTTATAAGTTTTGTTATTTTAATTTTAATTATCAGTTTTATTTTTGAAAAATTAAGTTATGATTGCAATTGGATAGAAAATCTCACAACCTAAGAGCTTATCGCAATTCATGCTCACACAAAAACAAAAACAAAAAAAATCTAAGAAAAAACAGTATATCTAACACGCATATCAGCATGTAAATTGAGAGTAAATAAATTGATCGAAAAAGAAATAGGGCAACTAAATGCTACCCTGCACCTACCGTGCACCAAAAAGAAAAGAAAATGAGGCCACCGCGCAGCTGTCCCTCACACAGCCCGGCCTAGACCTACAACAATCTTATTGGTGGCTTGGCTTTTTGGGTGTCTTCAATTCATATTTTAATAATTTAAGGATCAACCTTTAACTTTATTGTCTCATTGAGGATCATCCTTGCCCTATCATCTCATTGAGGACCATCCTTGTTCCATCTTCTCGTTAAGAATTGTCCTTTAGCTCTTTCATCTCATTGAGGATCATCCTTGATCCATCTTCAAGCAAGTCACACCTTAGACACTCGAGGCATCCAAGGCAACCGATAAGGACTGCCATAAGTTTAGACTCAAGAACGAAAAAAAACCTACGCTTACTACAACACCTACAGAAAAGTGTTAATATAAGAAAATATATCAGCACACAAACACTACATGCAGCACCAGGCCCTCTGTCCTACTAGGTTGTGCTTATATACGGGGGCACATGATGTTAAGTAGTTGCATAAGATATGATTAGTTTAATCTGATTTGTGCTCCCTCTTTAACACATCTTATCACAGCCACCTGTTGAAAATAGCGTTAGTAGTGCAAATGTCTTCCTAAAATGCAGACTATGCATACAAAAATCGGCCTAAATATTCAACTACAATGAAATAAGACATAACATTATCCATACCCAATTCTAGCAGACAATCAATATCAATTTTCATAAAAAGAAAATCCCACACAAATATGATCAAACTAACCTAAATCTAGCAATCAATTTTCCCACACAAATATGATCAAACTAACCTAAATCTAGATTTGTGGACTATCAAAGATATCTAAAATTGAAGTATGTGAGATAGTCATTCTAAACTTTATGTTAAAATTTTATAATTGTAATTCAAGATTGAGATTCAATTTATTATCACCGGGTAATTCAAATTTTAAGTTGTTTAAGTGTTGTGCATGTATATTTATTTTAAATTTTTAGTCATCTTATTTTTATTTAGTGTTATGAAGAGTGTTGTGAAAAGTGAAACCCTCCTGGCTAAAGGTCCTACAACTCACAACTCCCTAGTCCTAACATGGAAGAGCATCTCACTTGTGGGGGTGAAGTGTATCACTTTGAATTGCTACAATTGATTTAGTTACTCATTTTTTTTCTTAAAGTTTGTTGGTTAATATTTTAATTGATTTAATTGTATCACTCTGAATTGCTACAGTTGATTTAGTTACTCATGTTGAAATCTCTCGAAAGAGACTAAGAAGAAGCTTTCTCACAAATCACACAAAACTTAGGGATTATTTGGGGTAGCTGCAATAGTTTGAAGTAGCAACAGTGAGACTGCTGCGGAAGATACAACTTTTCAAAAAGTTGCGATAACTTTTATAAATTTATTTATATTTTCAAAATTTTAGACTTCAACTTTCTTGCAGCAACCACACTTTAACAATACAAATTGAAAAAAATAGATTTCTATTATAAAATTTTGTAAAAAAAAATAAAGAAATAGTTTCCCAAACAAAATTGTGGTGGTGGTCTGAAAAAGCATAGCAGACAGAAAGTTTTCTCAAACAAACCATTAACCCTAAGGCCGATCGAAATTACTAAGGAACAAGCAAGTTGACCGGCCACCCAAAGGCCGGTCGATTATTAATCTCAAAGCAGACCAGCTTCTCAAATCGAAGGCTGGCCGACTTCCCAAAGCAAAAGTCATCCGACACTCGGACAAGATAGTTGACAAACTCGAGGATCTGTCAATTAAAAAATTCAAGTACACTAAAAGATGCTAAAAGTAGTTAGAATATAAAAAGACATGATAATAGTTAATAATATCTTATAATGCTCTCATTAAAAAAGGATAGATATATACTTTTCTTAATCATGACCCTCTATCTTCTATAAGTAATGGTCCATAACAGATAAAATTGGCTTTTGGCTCTTCTCTCAACTCATATTTTGTAAGGAGATCTCTCTCTCTCATTCTTTCTTATAACCCTTCAGTTACAATGCATAAAATGGGGCATAAAGCTCGAAAATGTCATAGTTTGCCCCTACATGATAAGTCTATATGTGTTATTTTATTTCTTTCTCATCTTTATCTACTTTTCCCTCGAGGTACTTATCGCTTCGATCGTTGGACATACCTCACAAGACAAATTTGAGTTCAACACTACACATTTTTGTTATTGTTCAACAAGTGGGCAGTCCCTAAGCGCCCATCTGGTTCTCCCTTAATGTTTTGGGCCAACAAAGAGCGTTGCAAATTACCCTTTTCGGCGTAAAGCGATTTGTCATTACAAATCCTTTTAGTTCTGGCTTACATCATTTGGTCTACACTTGCAATTGTTGTGTCATCCGATGCCGTAGGTGCGGACATTGGCAACAATTGAGCGGAGGGAAAAAAAAAACTAGGCCTCCGGTGTTGTGTGTTATTCGTGGGTGTTTCATCTGCACCAAATATTTTGTGGTCATCCACATTGGAGTTCGGATAAAACAATGGAGGAGGAGAACAGAGATCTAGACCTCCGGTGTTGTGTTATCCGTAGGTGCTGCATCTGCACCAAATATTTTGTGGTCATCCACATTGAAGTTCGGATAAAACAATGGAGGAGGAGAACAGAGATCATTTTTTTGTATTTTTTGGATGTATTTAGATGCTTTATATGCAAATACAAAGGTTCAAATTGTGCTACATGTAAATAGAAATGTTTATGTAAAAAATCCGAAAAATTAGATGTAAAAAAAAATCTGATTAAAAGAGCAGGGACGCTTCATAACATTTATTTTTATTTTAATATTTAAAAAAAAACGGTACAACGTTCCAATCATCAGTCAGTATTTACTCTTATTGGCCTCCGTAGCACATTCGACGGATCATGCGCCGGCAAATAAAACACATCAAATGCCCCGCGACACTCGCCGGCCTAAACTCCAACCTCCATTAACGAGCTCTTCAGCCCTTCTGTAGCCTCACCAGTAAAGCAGACCTTAAATTTTCTTCTCCCATTAGCGCGTCGGGGACACGAACAACCACATCTTGTATCATTATCGCTTCCTTATAACCCGATACTGTGGCGTGGTGAACCAGAAGGTCCAGGTCCCGCAGCGCCGCCATTAACCTCGCCGGCGGGTGGGTTAAGTTCTCCGACTGAACTCTAATGATGGCATCATGGCCGAGAAGCTTAACCTCGACCTCCACCGTTGCAGGCTCGCTAGTCAATCCGCTTGTCGGACTACCGCCAGAACTATTCCCCTGTTCAACAATGACCTCCTTTTTCGACCTCTTGACTTCCACTTCAAGCTCCTCTAACTTCGCTCTCAGATCCTTAATATATGAAACTGCGTCTGCAAGAAGGGAAGCTTTGTCCATTCTCGATACATTAGGGACTACTGACCTCAGCGCGTAGAACCGATGGTTAAGCTTCTCCCTCCGTTGCCTCTCGGCTTCCACATGGTTCACAGGCGTCTCCCGACCAGTCCCCGGTTTCCTCCCCCTCTTCTTCGGCCGGCGCCGGTCGGCCAGCAGCCCACCTTCAGAATCAGAATGCTCTGAGTCGACCGACGAAGATACGCCGGCGAAATGAGCGTTTTTCGAGAGAAGGGGGGTCGGGTGAGACTGAGAGAGCGCGGCGGTGGCTTCGATGGGAGTGGAGAGGAGAGACTTCGCTTGCTGGATTAAAACCCAGTTTTCGCCGATTAGATCCGAGGAGCCGAGTTCGAGGACCCCGATAGCTGAAGGGATGCAGACCATGGTCTCAATGCCGTGCATTTGAGCTTCGCGAGATCGATCGCAGCCGCAAGTCTGGAGCGCGTGTGCGCCGGCAAGCCACACAGGGGCAAGTGAACCGTAGGCGCGGGAAGGCACGGTGGGCTCGCCGATGATGAAGGATCGAGTTAGAGATACGGCGTAAAACCATTCCGCGTCGTCTCCATCGTTGTTCCCTTCGCCGGAGGAGGTGGCGGCGGAGGCGGCGCGTTTCCCGCGGAAATGGCCATCGCCGAAGCTGAGGAGTGTGTGATCAGGGGAGGCGCGCCAGAGTATGGCGTAGGCCCACCATTCGGAGCGGGAGTGAAGCAAGCACTGGAGGATGTACTGAAGGCCTGAAGATGGGAGTGGTTCCGGCGAATTGGACGGCTGGATTTGAAGGGATTGGGATTGGACGGAGTAAAAGGGGGGTGGCGGAGGGGAGGAGGAGGCGGAAGGGGAGATTAGTTCCTCCATTTCCTAAAATTTTTCTAGGGTTAGGTTTCTTTCTGGTTTGCGCAGAGACGAGCATTTCCGGCAAGATATAAGCGGGTGGGCTGTGAAGGTACGGAGGAGGAAAGGTGGGGGGCCCAACGGGGGGCTTTATTTGCATCTCCCTTGTTGCAATTTTTAATGACCGGTGCAGGCTTGTTGGTCATTAAGGTTAGATTCAAAATTAAAAATAAATCCTTGGAAGATAAAACATAAGGAGGCCTACTTTATCGGTTAAGTCTGATTAATATAGATCCAAGTATAATCATGATATAAGCTTAGTATGATAAGATAATGACAGCTTGCAGATGATATTGCTGGGATATAAACCTAATAGGATGAGAAACTCTAGGTTTAATTAGTTTATGACCCTATTAGAATTAGATGATAATATGTTTGAGTCTAACTAAGATATAAGCCTAATAAAGGACAAAATTTGAATATGTCTAAAATATAGACCGACATAACTCATGCATAACTTTGAATCAAACACAAACACATTCAACTTGGAATTAAAAAATGAGTCTAATTAGGGTAAAAACCTAGTCAACTGATAAGATAATACTATGAGTTTAATTATAATTGTACGGTAAGAAAGTGCCCATGCTGATCCTAAAGTGATCCAATGTTATCGAAGGGTTGTGAGATGACCGAAAGAGCTGTCAGGGGACCAAAAGTTTGTCAGACGACCGAAGGGCTACCAGCCGACAAACTATGATATGCAAAAAAAATCATAATATCTTGCAACACTCCTATTTAAGCAAGGACAAGCATTTTGCACATTTGGCCCTCTATCCCCTACAAATAGAGGGTTTATAACATGTATTAGGGGTTGTTTTGCCTATGAAATTTTGGCTCTCTTTAAACCCATACTCTGTAAGAGAAAGCTCTTTCGTTCTTTCTTGTAACTTCTATTTTTCATATATAAAATGGGTCACCGAGTCCAGGAATATCCTAGTTCGCCCCAACAAAGCAAGTCCTTGTGTGCACTTTCATTCTTTTTCTCCATCTCTATCTATTTCTCTCTTTCTCTCCTCTCTGGTTCTTACTATTCCGATTTTAGTGCACACCTCACAAAAAAAAAAATGGATTAAAAAACCTTAAAGGCGCAACGAGTGTGGAACATGCTACCACAAGAAGGAAAGCGATGCCAACAAGAAGAAATACATCTCAAAGAAACTTCTAACAATGAGCATGCCAAGGAGTTCATGTAGAACAAAATCTGGTGATTTTAGTGCACGCCTCACAAAAAAAAAAGGATTAAAAAACCTTAAAGGCGCAGCGAGTGTGGAACATGCTACCACAAGAAGGAAAGTGATGCCAACGAGAAGAAATACATCTCAAAGAAACTTCTAACAAGGAGCATGCCAAGGAGTTCATGTAGAACAAAATCTGGAGCTAAAAATCTGTTTATGTCACCTTCCTAGAGGCTTTGGCTTGGAGGAAAGTACTACAAAATGGATGGTCGACACCTAACGGTCGAAACAAGCCGACTAACCATATCTATGCAACACTCGGTTGATTTCGAGTGGCTGACACCTTATTCAGCGAATCAAGGGAGTATCATCTCAAAATTTATCTTATGTTATGACACTTAAATATCATTAATATTTTCTTAGTTTCATTTAATATTTAGGGAACTTGAATCCAAGTAACAATACAGACAGCCGCCCCAAAGAGATTTGGTCAACATAATAGCTCATAATGCTCCTACGTCAGCAACCTTGATCTCCAAACTTGAATGTGATAAAGCTCTACAGGTGGTTCCCTGCTTAGTAGCAACAAGCTCCTTGAAGGGAATGACGTAAATCCCCTTAGCAGTAAGTTTCAACGATTTCTTACTAAGTAGTGACAAGCTCCATGAAGGGTGTGAGCTGGCTGAAACAATAATTCGATCAAGTAACCAAGGCCTTGAAGGATGAAAGAAGTGAGTCGGGCAACAATATTATAAAATAAACCAACAATGATGCCATAGACGTCCGATCAGTAAAAAAATAATAGAGTTGACCTATAACGATGCCTTAGAAGTTTAATCGACGTCCTAACAAAAAAAAAAAAGAACTTACAACACCAAGCCTCAAAAAGCCATCTCAAAGCATAATGTGGATAAAGCCTTGGAGGTGTTCCCTATGTAGTAGCAACAAGCTCCACGAAGGATATGGTGCAAATCACCCCAACAATGAGTGTCGTTGTTTACCGGACATATACAAAAAAACGGTAGATGACTATTCAAAAGGTATGAGTCATCAACCAATACCAACATTTATCAACAATAACCATCGTAAGAAAATAAAAATATAAAGGTAAAAAGAATTAGAGAAAAGCAAAGATATGCATAAATGACTGAGAATCTTCATTCATTTTTAAATAGAAAAATGTAGAAGTCACTTCTATACAAAAGATTTAATTTATATAAGTATACTTACAATAAATTTCTAGAAAATATTTTAAGTTTCAGCAAGCCGATTGGAGGACCCTCCATCATCTTCGAAATCTGAGTCATCCCCAGGAGACCACCTTAAAGCTGACAAGACTTGGTGCAAAAAGGTATCGAAACAGAGGAAGTATTTTAAGCGACGCATTGGTAAATATGATCACATTTCTTCTTTAAAAATTACCTCATTCTTATTATAGTTTTGCCTCCAAGAAGTAAGGGAATTAGAAAACTTAATATGTACATAAAAAATGTGCCCACGACAATCCTAAAAAGATCTAACAGTACCGAAGGTTTTCCAGATGACGCGCCAAAACTTACTGGGACGTAAGTCAGTCGTACAACACAACTGCATGTGTTAAGTAGTAATGCAGTTCAAAAGTATTGTATATCGATCCCACATAAAAAGTGTAATATTTGTTCCACAAAAAAATAAACTCTAGATTACTAAATCAGCTAACCTAGCTTAACGATTATCAAAAGAATGTGTTTAAGTCCTAAGGTCCTAGCAAAACCAAGTACTTGGCTGTAAATGATAATAGAAAATAAGAAGAAAAAATTTATCCTAGATTTTGAACATTTAAAAAAATATTCAAAACTGGTTGAATTTTAATAAATGTTGGAATTCATCAGAGCTCAAAAAAATAATCTCACCAACCAGTGAAAATGAGGGAAGAATTGTAAGTTTATCAATAGCAAATTACCCATCATAAACAATGTCTAGCTCCAATAGCAAGCCAAATGAATGTAGAAGCACCAATGTTCAATATGAGAAATTAAATCCAACATGATGGAAGCATATCAACGGCCAGCAAATCCTAGCAAACATCATATTACTCAAAGTATCTATAAAATGTACATTACCAAAAGAATAACACTAACCCAACATAGTATAAGAACAATGTGGTAACATATCAAATTCCAAACCACATTACTCCCTCAGTTTGTTCTAAGCTATAAAGAATATCGTGATAACATAAAAAGAAAAGCAATAACCAACATGACTATTTCAGTTTTGATACACAAAAAATATATGCATTTTTAAACTCATATTTTATACTCATTTTTGATGATATTGCACTTTAATGGAATGTAATCTCTATGTTTTATTGCAGGTTGTTGATTTTGAGGACTTGGAGCAAAAAAGAAGCAAAAAGGATGAAATTTGGAGCAAAAATGTAGAAATTTAAAATTTGTTCAGCTCCGACGGCACCAGACTGGGCGTTGACGACGCCATTTGACAAAAACTTTGGATTTAATGACGGGCCTCAAGTGCTGATGGCGCCAGTGTCAGTGGAAGCCCTATTTGTAGAATATTTGACGAATGTGGATGTTTTTTAAAGAGTTGTTGGATACACATATTGGAGAATCGACCTAAGCTATATTTAGGGCCAAAATTTGATCAGAAACCCCCACCCTTCGCACCATTTCAACCTATTTCACTCATTTTCAATTTTCCTCTTTACACATCTACATTCCACACCATTAATTAGTTATTGTTTTTTATATATTTGAGTTTTTGTGGTGAGTTTAAGTGTGGTAACATATCAAATTCCAAACCACATTACTCCCTCAGTTTGTTCTGAGCTATAAAGAATATCGTGATAACATAAAAAGAAAAGCAATAACCAACATGACTATTTCAGTTTTCATTTGATTTAGTTTTGATACACCAAAAATATATGCATTTTTAAACT